GGGGGAGCCCCGAGGTGCGGAGAGAGAAGAGCAGCAGCACCGCGGGGTGCGGGAGGGGCTCCGGTTTGTGGTTCCCTGCAAGTCCTGGGGGGTTCCCATTGCCCTCCCTGGGGGGCCGCTCGGTGTCGGGGAGCTCGGGGCTGGCAGTGCGGGGCTCCCGGGGATCTCCTGGGATCTCTGGGGATCTCCCGGGATCTCTCGGGGATCTCTGGGGGCTCTCCCGGGGGTCTCTGGGGATCTCCGGGGATCTCCCGGGGGTCTCTGGGGATCTCCCAGGATCTCTCGGGGGTCTCTCAAGGATCTCCCGGGGGGTCTCTCGAGGATCTCTCGGGATCTCCCGGGGGTCTCTCGAGGATCTCCCGGGGCTCTCCCGGGATCTCTCGAGGATCTCCCTGGATCTCTCAGCCCAGCCGTGCCCTCCCCAGGCCGCACCATCGCCCCGAAGAAGCTCCGCGTGGTCCAACAGCAGAAGCTGAAGAAGGTGAGGGGGGAGCGTGGCAGGTCCCGAGGGGAATGGGGGGACCCCACTAGAGCCCCCCTGACCCCCCCGTGCTGTCCGCAGCGCCTGGAGGTCGGGATCCGGATGCGGATCGAGCGGGAGACTGTGCAGCGAGCGCAGGGCAGCCTCCCCAAGAAGCTGGCGCTGGTCACGGCGCCGGCCCCCGCCAAGGACAAAGCCAAGAAGGGCCGCGGCTGAGCCCCACCGGGAAACGACCCCCGAACCCCCCTCCGGTGACCTCCGCCAGGCTCTGGGGGAGTCCGGGCTGTTCTCAGCCCCCACCATCGTTCTTTAATAAAAGGGATTTGCGGGCGGCGGCCCCCCCGCGCCCACAAGGCCGGTGTGTGATTTGGGGGGCCGGGGGTGCGGCTGCAGAGGGCTCGGGGAGCTCCTGGGTGAGAGCTCTGGGGAAGAGCGGGGGGACACCGTGGAGCCCCGAGGTCAGGGAGGCTCCTGGCGGTGTCCCGGTACCCCCGGGAGGGTTCTAGGGGGAGGTGTCCGTGCTCCCGGGGGACTGGAGGGAGGGTCTCTGGGTCCCCCGGGGTCTCAAGGATATGGCACTGTCCCCCAGGGGGTCGTTTCCGTGCGGGTCCCGGGGTCTCCTGGTGTCTTCCAGGGATTTTGGGGTGGTCTCGGGGATTCTGTGAGTCCGTGAGACCCCCCTGGAGGCGGTCCCGGTGTCTCTGGGGGCGCTCTCTGAGGGGTCTCGGTGGATTCCCCATCCCGCCCCTTCCCCGTTTCCCGGCATCGCCGCATTTTATGAATGGATTGCAAGGCCCCGCCTCTT